GTATGTATGTATCGGGGAATAAGTCGACTGTACCATGCACACACACATGCAGGCAGGCACACGCGATCATATCAGTGCGCGGCAGGTACTCATTGTCAGTCTCAGTCGCGCGTGTTAAATAAAATATTTTGGTTGCGTTCTCACGAAAATGGGCGGTGGAGGAGCCCTTTCTATATTATAAATATCCAAAATATTGTAACCCAGCAAACACAGAATATAACTGCTATATAACATGGGAATAACATGTAATGTAACGGTTGTTATACCTAATTTATATTGGGATTATATAACTATCTTTTATTTAAGCAATATAAGACCGACTCTACATAATGATATTGGTAATGTAACTATAAAGCATTGGTAATATACCGACACTTTTAGTTACGTTTAGATAAGGGCGCTAACCCGTCGGAGTTCGCCCGTCGATTGTTTTACCGACCATAATAATTATATATTTGCTTAATGTAAAAGTTTTGCAGTTTGTATGTACAAAATAAGATAGGTCTCCACTCGGAAATGCATAAAAGAATATAAGTGAATTTAGAAACGTGTTTAGAAGCCTAATAAAAAAGATTACTGTCTACAAAAATAACTAATTTTTTAGCTTTTCTTCGTTTTTAACGTAAAAGCGCAAGGTTCCCACTTTGTTGATGTATATACTTTAATCGTGGAAAAGGATTTCTTATTTCATGTAACCAATAAAAAAATTTCGGTCTGCAAAGTGTAATTATTATGGTCGGTAAAACAGGACGGTCCGGCATCACCTTAAATATAAGAACCATAGACATAGTATATCTAGACCGAGTGTTGAGGAGTGGGAGCCGAGGTGCACGTAGAAAAGGACATACTTTGTTTCGTGCCTCTTGCGTTCTCTCTCGCTCGCACGTAGCATGACGAAAGAGAGCGCTATGCTATGTGCGAGCGAGAGAGAACGCAAGAGGCACGAAACAAAGTATGTCCTTTTCTACGTGCATCTTTACCCCCACTCCTTAAATAAAGGCAAACGCTCGGTCTAGATATACTATGTCTATGATAAGAACTGACTATGAATACCGGCCCTAGACTTATCCATCGTTACTGATCGATCAACGCATATTGGTCTACATGCGACGTCGCAAGATGGCGGCGACACAATCACGCCAACTCTCGCCGCATGGCGTCGCTCTTGTACGCGCCTGATCCTTGGCGATCGTGGGAATGGGGAATCCAATATGGCAGCCGTCGTGATAGCCGCACAAGTCAGTGTCGCGGAAATGTTTTTAACTCGCTGAGCAAGCAACCGCGACAACCGGTCGACGTGCGACGCATAGGTTAGTAGAACGACGTGTGAACACGTCGGTCGCGTTTTGCGGCCGATCGGTCGATTTGTGTCAGGAAAGCGTGACATCGCGAATCGTCGATCGCGATTTCCTCCTCGCTGTCGCGCGCGCGGTTCCGCGATGTATTCGCGTGTATATTCGTCTCATCGCGCAACATTTAACCGGTATTCACCAGTGTAAGAACGTTCGGGGCGCGCGATGATGCCTCCGCGTCGAGTCCCGCCAATTCCTGTCACTTCATAACGCACGACGCCGCGTTGCGCCGCTTCCGCATTGTGTACGTTTACACAATGTATGTGCCTACATATCTTCCCTCTCTGTTAATCGTACTGACTAGATCTGTATACGGTCGTCTGTTTCTCTCTTTTTTCACCCTCCCCTTTTCTCCGTCACTGTCTCCCCCGCCGCGAGCGCATCGTCTTTGCGTCAGGTGTTCTGTTTGTATCCCTGCGTGCGTGCATATTTATGTGTATGTGTGTATGTGTGTGTGTGTGTATGTTTGTGCATGACTGTGAAGGTGGGAATTTGTTTTGGATATGTCGCTTATACCTGTCTGTCTTCGTCTTCCTCATTTTCTTTTCTTATTTCTCCTATCATCGTGTGTCGCGCGGTTGACTGCCGCCGCGTGTGCGTGCGAGTACGTGTGCGTATGCGTGGGTGTTTGAACATCAAGAGTCCGCTGATGTTCATCGCCCGGCTTCGACCTGTGTCAACGTGTGACAACAGTGGACGTTTTGGGACGCACGACTACGTCGGGGACACCGCGTCGAAAATATCCGCGAGCATCGTGACACCTGGGCCCGGCGATGTTCGGTAAGTCTATGATCTGCTTCCTTTTAACTACCTTCTATCTATATTGACCCGAGTCTGCGTCCAGCTCGTCGTGTCACGTAGATGACAGGTGGACAGTGCGAGACGTGTTATTCGTTCGTGCTTATTTGACGTTTGAAAAGTTGTTACAAAAAATTTTCAATTTGTAACTTTATGAGGAAAAATTGAGAGAGTCGTATATAATATTAATTTTTCTAATAAGTAATGATAATATTATGATAATATATTGACGATTGTATCATATTAATTTCTTTCTATTAAAGATTCTGCTTGAAACTGCATTTTTTTAATTGTATTTATGGTAATTCTTTCTGAAAAATATATCTTAAATTTTTCTATAGTGATTTTGTAATGGTTCTATAATTAGTCGACAGAATCGTATGAAATTATATTATATCTTCCATATTCATAAAAATGATTAAATGGATTTTGAGTCATTCCATACAAACAAATTAGTCACAAAAAATATATATAATATACACACATATATATATATA